GCTTTAAGTTCACTGATAATTTCTTCTGTAGTGTCTAATCTACTCTTTTTTAATTTAAACTTTAGTTAGTAAACATGCAGTGCAATGTTGGTTTCTGAAATAGAATTCCGTAATTCATCGCTTACATACAATACCCACTGCTCATCACTAGTGCCCTCTTTTTTTTTTTTTTAAGATTTTTATTTATTTATTCATTCATGAGAAACACAGAGAGGCAAAGACATAGGCAGAGAGAGAAGCAGGCCCCCTGCAGGGAGCCTGATGTGGAACTCTTCCCCAGGACCCGAGGATCACGACCTGAGTCTAAGACAGATGTTAAGCTACTGAACAACCCAGGTGTCCCTTCCCTGTGAAACTTTTACATGTCAGAATTGGGAAATGTTTTCTTTTGGGCTGGTCGATTTCGAGAGGAATCCTCCAATCTCTTGCTCAGGATTTTTAAGCCATGAAGGAAGGAGTTTGGGGAGTAAAGCCTGGTTTGTAGGCATAAGAGGGAAGAAAGCATACACCCTCTAACATTTCAGTATACTTTCAGTTTAAATATCCATTTTCAGCATTACCTTCTACTGTGATTTTTGAACCACAATCTGTATGGTTCAACTTCTTCATAAATTAAACCTGTCCCTGTTAACTTTATTTTTAAGATATTCTATCCAAGTAGTCTTTTAATTTTTTCTTATCATTAAGTTTACATATTGAAATTTTAAGTATGGAGAAATATTTCATGAAAAGCCTGAAGTTTCTCAAGCTGTAAAATGGAAAGAAGTTTCTAAGAGGTTCATGTGGCTTTGGTCACAGGAAAAAGTGCAAAGCCTTGTTAAAGCACTCCATTTCTGAAATATGCAAAAAACACAATACTTGACCAGGTATAATCTCACTATTGCCAAATTTAGTGGATTTCTGTTTATGTATTATTTGCCCTCATGTCTACCACTCAACAGCATCAAATGCAAGTAGACATTCTCTCTTTCTTGAAGCTTCTTTTTCTCTTGTCTTCTTCTACACATTGACTTCTGGTGCCTTCTCATCTAAATAATCTCTAAATATTGGAGTGTTTCTGGCCTTGTCTATTCTCTGTCCTTACTGTCTTTCACCCAGTCCCATGGGTTTAAATATCCTGTTAATACTGTTGACTCTTAAAGTTTCCTGTCCTCGCCCTTGAACTCCAAATGCCTACTTGATATGTCAATTTCAGTGTCCAGTAGGCATTTCAATAGAAGGAATTCTTTTATTCCTTCCCTTGTATTTCCCAACATGTAAAGGCTATCACAGTTCTTCACACAAAAAAACAAGGATTCATCGTTTATTCTTCACTTTCCTTTATTCATGTGTGTCCTATTCATCAAGCTCCATAGGTTCAATAAAAAAAATATACCTCCATCTACCCACTCCTTTTCATCTCCAAGGAAGCATTTTTTCTTAACCTCTGCAGTAGTCTTTCCAAGTGAGCTCTTTGCTGTAATTCTTGCAACCCATTCTTCACATAGCCAATAGAGAAATCTTTTTTTTATTAAATAAATGTTATTTATTCATGACACACACACATACACACAGAGGCAGAGACATGGGCAGAGGGAGTAGAAGCAGGCTCGCTGCAAGGAGCCTGATGCAGGACTCGATCCAGGGGACCCCGGGATCATGTCCTGAGCTAAAGGCAGATGCTCAACCACTGAGCCACCTAGGCATCCCGTGAAATCTTTTAAAAATATAATTCTTTCAAGATGCCTAGGTATTTCAGGCTCAGTAGTTGAGGTCTGCCTTTGGCTCAGGTCATGATCTGTCCCACATTGGGCTCCCTGCAGGGAGCCTGCTTCTCCCTCTGCCTGTGTCTCTGCCTCTCTCTATGTCTCTCATGAATAAATAAAATCTTAAATATATATATATATATATATTATATATATATAATATATATATATATAATCCTTTCATTGACTTTCTATTGCACTTAGAATAAAGTCAAACTCATAACTATGGTCTAAAAGATCTTTATGACCTGGCATAATCTCATGTTTAACTGTTGCTTATTCATTCATTCAACAATTATTTACTGAGTACTTACAATGTGTTAGAGACTGAACTAGGCACTAGGGTCCCCATCACAGTAAACTGGCCTCTTTTTTGTTCCTAGAATACTCAGAATCGTTACATTTGCTGTTCCCTGTATTTGGCATGTTCTTTCCTTAGCTCTTTGCACAAATTTGTTCTTTATCATTTTTCAGATCTCAGCATAGATGTCATTTCCTCAGAGGCCTTTTTTTGATAAACTGATTTAAAATATCTAGTAATGGGCAGCCTGGGTGGCTCAGCGATTTAGCGCCTGCCTTCAGCCGAGGGCCTGATCCTGGAGACCTGGGATCGAGTCCCACATCAGGATCCCTGCATGGAGCTTGCTTCTCCCTCTGCCTGTGTCTCTGCCTCTTTCTCTCTCTGTGTGTCTCTCATAAATAAATCTTTAATAAAATAAAATATCTACTAACCTCTTTTCCATTATGTTATCCTATTTAATTTCTTCATAGCCCACTTCTCAGTCTTCTCTGCTTATTTATTTTCTGTTGTTCCCTCCCCTGTCTCGTTTGAATGTAAGCTCCTAGAAGATAGAGAAACCCTGTCTTTAATGGTATCCTCAGTGCCTAGAACATGTTTTCTGAAGGCCTAGAACAGAGCCTGGCACATATAATATCATAAATATTTTTAATAGATTAGTTTGATGGGGATGTGTTTAGGAAAAACTACCCAGAAATGGTAATGTTAAGTCTTAAAAAATAAGGGTTTGGTTATTTATACATGTATCATTGGACTGAACAATCACCATCAATGAAAGTATTTATTCTGGTCACACATTTACTCCTTGTTATGCATTATTAACATAGACTAAGAATAATCACTATAGGTGAAATAGCTTGATCTTAATGTTATTCAGGAAAACTTCCTTTGGGATAATTTGGAGGCTAGTATATTTGTCCTGTTATCAAACTTGCATTTTCTGTTCAGAGTTAAAAGCATAATAGAGGGGCACTTGGGTGGCTCAGTTGGTTAGGTGTCCAGCTCAGCTCATGTTCTCATGGTTGTGAAATTGAGTTCCACATTGGCTCAATGCTGTGTTTGCTTGAGCTTCTCTCTCTCTCCCTCTACCCCTCTTCCCACTCACCTGTGCTCACTCTCTCTCTCTCTCAATAAATAAATAAAATCTTAAATGCATAGTCAAATAAGGTTTAAGAGTACTGACAATAACTGAAATGAATCTTGGTAGTTATTAAAATTAACAATCAGATCTTTTAAGATATATTCACCACTCATTACCAAGCATTGTGTGTAGAACCTGGCTTACAAAAACATTTTGAAAAAATACATACACTGCATTTAAGATTGATGCCAACTGAGGAGACTAGAATTTTCCACCTTTCTCTCTCCAGGAAAAGTGAGCTTTTGTGCTTGGCTGTTCTGTCCTCATTTTCCATGTGTTGAATAGGAATTTTAAAAAAGATTTCATTTATTTATTCATGAGAGACACAGAGAGACAGAGAGGCAGAGATACAGGCAGAGGAAGAAGCAGGCTCCAGACAGGGAGCCCAATGTGGGACATGATCCTGGGGTCGCAGGATCACACCCTGAGCCGAAGGCAGATGCTCAACCACTGAACAACCCAGTCATCCCTTGAATAGAGAATGTTATACACAACCCAGGTCTTCTCTACTTAACCAAAACCTAGATTCCAGGCTCTGTCACTTTGATTAGAATCATATACATGTACAGTGTATCTCATATAAGGCTGTTGATATATCACAAAATCATATCTGATACAAATACAGCAAAATCATATGAGAATTAAATAATTCTGATGAATACAAAATGTCCAGCAGGGAAAAAAAATTTAGAAGAGCAGTCCAAAACTTAAAACATTTTTGAATGCTGAATTTATCCCATGAACTTCTTACATCCTTCATAATCTAAGTTGCAACAATTAATTGAGCCATGCTTCCTTATTCATCTTTTTATTTTAAACATCTGTGAGTGGCATTTTGGGTATTTTGAGGAATTCATTTGTAATATAATACATTTAATATTTTTGCAATTATCTACTGCTTATAGTAGTTACAGGACTAGCTAGGTAATAGTTCTGAATTTGGAAACAAGTCAGGGGAAACTTTTTAAAGATCATTGGATAGCTCTCTAGGAGTAGTTTGGAAACAAGAGTTCTGTTTATGGAGGAAAGAAGCCCTTCATTGCTCCTGTGGCTCCATGTAAAGAAATTATACCATAGCCTACCGCATTGCTACACCAGAAACTGTGAGGTCATGGCAGTGGCTCAGCTTACAGATGACTGTTTCCAGGAAGCCTTCCTTAGCCCCAGGCTGAGTTAGTGCTATTCCAATACTTATGAAAACAGAATCACATTGTAATCCTGTTACTTGTTGACTATGTGTTTTTTGAGCCCCAGGACTGTATCTTTCTTCCTCCGTCCACACAAAATAGTACAGTGTCTGATAGACATGTAGGTGCTCAGTACATATTTGAATGAGTAAATAATTTAATGAATATGGTATAATATGACATAACATGATATGAATATAGCTAGTGCAAATTAGAATAAATTCAAGTTCCAGGTACTTCCCCAAAGAGGAGCAATCAGGAGAGAGTTCAGGACTAATCAATTACTAGAAATTCATTCATTGGGAGATCAGAGTTAAGTGGTAAGAAATCTAGATTTAGAGGGAAACATTTGATGGAAAAATAATACAGAGAGGAAAAGCACATTATTTCCTTCTCAGAGAAACTCTTCTGTTGGTGAGGTGTAGAGGCATTGAGGTATGGAAGAGAAAACCAGGTAACAGGGCAGAATTAAGCAAATAAATACATTAAGAAGTAGAGATTCACATGCTTGTTTTAGAGTAAATCCAGAATAGTTTTTAAAGTGATAAATTTTATAAATATTTAGAAAAACATACTTTTTAATCACAATTTCTTGGAAATAATTTAAAATTAATTTTTCTTTACACTACCTTTACATGCAGAAGTTGGTTGTCAACTGCTATGAGCTGATTAAGATTCTCTAGTATTTCTAGGTCTCTTATGTCATCAATATTATTATTGCTGATATTCAATATAGAGAGGGATTTCTGTAAGAAAGGTAAATTAGCATTAGTAAATTAAATGCTATATATAGCAATCAGAAATCTTAATCTGTGAAAAGTTTAAGATTTATCAGTTCAGACTGTTTTGCTCTTTAGGCAAGAAAATTAAAAACCATGGAGATTTTGTTTCTATACCATACTTTTTTCAGACATGACTTTTAGGACTTTAGTAATTGTGATGTGACTTATTATTTTTGTCTAAAGTTCCTTCATAAGTCTGATTTTCCTCTTCCAGAATATAAAAAGAAATTAATAGAAAAAAAGAAGCCGGGACTCAAGAAGCAAAGAAAGAAAAAGTTGCCCCAACAAATGACAACACAGTGTAGAAAAATGCTTATCTTAATTTAAGCAAATTATCATTTTGTGTTAAATATCACTAAGATTTTACTTAATAGGAAGAAATTGTTTTTGTCTGTTTTCCTAAATAAGAAACATGACTAAGAATAAAAGATTATATGGTTTAATTTTTATCTTTATCTCTCTATATAGTTTTCTCTTGATAATCCATATGTTCAGAAGACACTTAAAATAATAATTAACAGAAGTATCAACATCAGCTGTTAGAACACAAATACACATAGAGCAGCGCTAAACTGAAGTCATCTTAAAATCTATGGCCCAGTGATCTCTACCAAGATTGAGTCTACCCACCAAAGCATTCATATAGCCAACCTTTATTTTTTTTAAATATTTTTTAAATCTTTATTTATTTATGATAGTCACAGAGAGAGAGAGAGGGAGGCAGAGACACAGGCAGAGGGAGAAGCAGGCTCCATGCACCGGGAGCCTGACGTGGGATTCGATTCCGGGTCTCCAGGATCGCGCCCTGGGCCAAAGGCGGGCGCTAAACCGCTGCGCCACCCAGGGATCCCTATAGCCAACCTTTAGAGAAAATCCTTCCTGATACTTTTTAGGACTGTAAATACAACTTAAAAAATTATGCCTTGTATTTAGAATTTTGGAATCTGCTTGAATATGTGCAAAAACTAAGCAAACAAAAATGTTTTTTCTGGCATTTGTAATAAAACTGGTCATCCCCACAGAGGAATCAATCTTTTTGGGTCAGTTGGGGTGAGCTGAGACACAGTTGATTCTATAGGGAGGATAGGGATAGGGTTGGATAGAAATCAGATCACTTCTTTCTTTTTTAAAAATATTTTACTTGGGGATCCCTGGGTGGCGCAGTGGTTTGGCGCCTGCCTTTGGCCCAGGGCGCGATCCTGGGGACCCGGGATCGAGTCCCACGTCGGGCTCCTGGTGCGTGGAGCCTGCTTCTCCCTCTGCCTGTGTCTCTGCCTCTCTCTGTCTCTCTCTATCATAAATAAATAACAATTAAAAAAAATATTTTACTTGATGTATTCATGAGAGAGAAGCACAGACACCGGCAGAGGGAGAAGCTGGCTCCATGCAGGAGGCCCAAAGTGGGACTTGATCCCGACACTCTGGAATCACACCCTGAGCCAAAGGCAGATGCTAAACCACTGCTAAACCACTGAGCACCCAGGTGTCCCAGATCACTTCTTTCTTTTCCAATTTAAAGCACTATTTTTCATTTTTTATAAATTTGGTTCACAAACCTTATATTGCCCTCTGTTTCTGGGCCCTCTAAAAGAAAGCCAATGAAATCTATAAACACATGGGGATCCCTGGGTGGCTCAGCGGTTTAGCGCCTGCCTTTGACCCAGGGTGCGATCCTGGATTCCCGGGATCGAGTCCTGCATCGGGCCCCCGGCATGGAGCCTGCTTCTCCCTCCTCCTGTGTCTGTCTGTCTGTCTCTCTCTCTCTCTCTCTCTCTCTCTAGGTCTATCATAAATCAATCAATCAATCAATCTAAAAAAAATCTATAAACACAACAACCATGTTCCCTTTACATCTCTTGCCCCAGAATTGAAGGTAGCAGTTTCCTAACAAATCCCATTTTGAGAATTAGCAAAAGCTTCCATTGCGCCCTCTGGCTTCTCAACTAATTGTGACACCTCCACAATGTATATGGGTGTCAGGTCACATAGCTGCTGCTTCTGATGAGGCAGACCATATATAGTGCAACGTACTACCAAATCAGAATCCGGCGAGAAAACAATTTATCACCATCATGGTTCTCTAGATTGTTTAAAATTTGCCAAATTATTGTGCATTATTTTTTCCTTAGGCTTTTTCCTAAAATTTTAAATTTCGAATCATGATAATCACCAAGGTGGAAATTATGAATGTATTGACATCTGGATTAGAACTTAATAAGGACATAACCTTTTCACATCCTTCTTTTGATCCTTTTGATACCCTGGAGGCAGGCATTATTATTCCCACTTTATAGCTGCTGAGTCTCTGTGAAATTATGTGAGAAAAATTAGTTTTTAAAAAAAGATTTATTTATTTATTCATGAGAGACACAGACTAAGAGAGAGAGGCAGAGACATAGGCAGAGGGAGAAGCAGGCTTCTCGCAGGGAGCCTGATGCGGAACTCGATTCCTGATCCCAGGATCACAACCGGAGCAGAAGGCAGGCGCCCAACCACTGAGCCACCCAGGCATCCCTAGTTTCAATCCTCAAATAAATTCTCACCTGGCCATATAAACATACAGGGTATGTATAATGTTCAAATATACCTTTGCTACCTTCTTGTTCCATTAAACTATTAATCACTATATTCTTTGTCAGAATACTCAAAAGTGACCTTACTGCCAGAGAATGAAGAGTTCTTGGATCAAACAGAAGCTTTTCTCCAAGGGGAAGCCTCTGACTCTCAACATGAAGCTCTCTTAATCCTTCTACTCCTTCCAAACCTTCTATAACAGCAATGTAATTGCCTCCCAGATACCTACAAAATATAAAGCAATTTTAAATAGACATTTTGAGAACATCATGGTCTGTAAACATGATAAAAACATAACAATCACTGAGCCAAGTGAAAATTATATATGTGGAAATATGCAGAATCTTCTCACTGTAATGAATCAATGAGAGGTTTATTTATATGATTCTCTCAATTTAGTCTAAGAAATATGTTTATTTTTTTTAAAGTGAGAGAAGTGGAATAGTCTTTATTAAATGATCTACCAGTACTCCTTTTACATGTTAGGGTGAAGAATTATCTGGGTAGTAGGTTTTTGTTTTTTTTTTTTAAAGATTTTGTTTATTTATTTGAGAGAGCACAAGTGAGGGCAAGAGGGGCAAAGAGAGAGGGAGAAGCAGACTCCCCACTGAGTGTAGAGCCCAACATGGGGCTCAAACCCAGGACCCTGAAATCATCACATAAACTGAAGGCAGATACTTAATTGACTGAGCTACCCAGGCGCCCCCCAGGTGGTGGGTTTAAAAATGCAAAATTATGGGGCCTAACAGTGGAGATTTTCATTTGGCTACCTAGGTTAGAGCCCAGCAGTATGCATTTTTATTTTTTTATTTTTTTAAAGATTTATTTATTTTTACTTATGATAGACACACACAGAGAGAGAAAGAGGCAGAGACACAGGAGGAGGGAGAAGCAGGCTCCATGCCGGGAGCCCGACGCGGGACTCGATCCCGGGACTTGATCCCGGGACTTGATCCCGGGACACTGGAGACTCCAGGATCGCGCCCCGAGCCACCCAGGGATCCCCAGCAGTCTGCATTTTTAATAAGCATTTTCTATCCCACTCTATTCCCATTCTGAGGTTCTTGGCTCACTTTTTGAGAAGCACTCCTAATTCTTCCAATCAGGGAAAATTGAATATACCAGACTTGATTTTTGAGTTAAAATCATTATAGGCAGTAAATACCTTTTTACAATCAAATCTAAAGTAACATTATCGACTCTAGGATCCTGCCCCTTTGAGATGTGTAATTCTGAAAGGAGAACTCATCTGGTTTCCACGGAAACCTTTTTTTACCAGTTGAGTCTTTAAAGATACTTTAGGTATTCTTATAATTGATTAAGACAACTCACCCTCCTGCTAAAGAAAAGTATATCATGCTTAATGAAACAAATCGCCAAGTATTATATTAGTAACAGTTTATTTTGTACTAATACTATAAGAATAAAAATTGAGGCCTGTTCCATAAAGCTGCAGATAATGGAAAGGCCCACATGCAAAAATATTCCTGTAATGATGACAATTATGATACTTAAAAACAAAAGCACTTACAGTTTTTCCAGTTTCTTTAATGACGTGAGGTTCTCTATGCATGAAATACAGTTGTTTTGTAGGTACAGGTGGGTCAGATTTGTAGCATAATTCAAGTTAGTCAATTGACTAATACGGTTATCATACAAATATAAAACAGTAAGATTTTTGCAAGGAGAGAGGTCTTCCTAAAAGGAAAACAAAAACAGGTCATACCTGATTTCTCCTGAACACTTAGAAATTTATTTTATTTTTTTATTATTATTTTTAAAGATTTATTTATTCATGAGAGACACACACACAGAGAGAGAGAGAGAGAGAGAGAGAGGCAGAGACACAGAGGGAGAAGCAGGCTCCCCATAGGGAGCCGATGCGGGGACTTGATCCTAGACCCCAGGATCATGCCCCAAGCCAAGGGCAGCGCCCAATTGCTGAGCCACCCAGGCATCCCAGAAGTTTATTTTTAAGAAAGTTTTTCTCTTAATCATTCTGCAAATTTCCTTAAGTTTAATATAAAAGGAACAATATTTCTCTGTTCTTAGCACAGTCAAAAGACTAGAATGATTATAAAAACAGTTCTAGGTTTTAGTATTCTGTAACTATACCAATAAAATTGTATTTGTTAAGATTTTCCTAGCACAAGCAGTTTTCCTTGGAAGCAATTAGATTCCTCTAGAAGTTGAAGCATTTAACAAATTATTGCTTCAACATTATAAATCAGGTCTTTTTTTTTTTTTTTAAGATTTTATTTATTTGAGAGTGAGTGAGAGAAGGAGCCAGGGTTGGGGGAGAGGGGAGGAAGGGAAGGGTAGATGGAGAGAGAGCAGCAGACTCCCCACCCCAAAAGCCCTCCAACAACTTGGGCCAATCCCAGGACCCTGGGATCATGATCTTAGCCTAAGGCAGATGCTTAACTGACTGAGCCAAGTTTAAGGCAGATGCTTAACTGACTGAGCCACTCAGGCACTCCTATAAATCAGGTCTTAATCTTTCTGTAGGATTAGAAGTAAACTATTGTTTCTAATACTGAAAATGGGAAGCTATTATATAGATAATCAAGGGCAATAGATTATTAACTATGATAATGCTGTTAAAGGAATACCGTTTAACTGTTTATCCTTTAGTTTCTTTAGACCTCAAAATGAGAACAGTACATTCAATATGACCCACTATTGAAAAATTATATGAATACATGCCTAGAAAAAAGATTGAAAGGACATCATCTACACATTAATAGTGATAATACACATTATCACTCTGCATGATAGGATTATAAGTCAGTTTCTTTTTATATATATATTTCATAAAAATGCACATTAGTTACTTTTGAGATAAGAAAATAATTAAAGGTATTTTTTAAAGTTTGCCATTTCCTATGTGGTGGTAGAGTCAGCCTAGAGTTAAGTAGGCAAGAGGTAAAGTGAAGTTATGCTCAAAAATATCTCAGTTTGGGGTGCCTGGCTGGCTCAGTTGGTAGAGCATGAAATTCTTGGTCTTGGGGTTGTAAGTTCAAGCCCTACATTGGGCATAGAGATTACTTTAAAAAAATAAAATCTTAAAAACTATCTTAGTTTTTATTAACAAGATTTTAAAAAATATAACCACATCTTGGGAATTTTCAGTTTACAGGCTATTCTTATCTTAGTGTGAATTTTTTTTTAGAGAGTACAGGTATGTGTGATAGGGTAAGGGGAGAAACAGAAGGAGAGGGAGAGAGAATCCCAAGCAGGCTTCATGCCCAGTGTGGAGCCTGATGACATAGGGCTTGATCTCATGACCCATGAGACGACGACCTGAGCTGAAACTAGAGTGGGACACTTAACCAACAGAACCACCCAAGCATCCCCTTCGTATGAAGGGCCCTTCGTATGAAGGGCCCTTGTTGGCCCTTGAACAACATGGATTTGAACTGCATGGTCTACTTATACATGAATTCTTTTTTGATAAATACTGTACAGTATTGTAATGTATTTTCCTTATGATTTTTTTAAAGATCTTATTTATTTATTCATGAGAGACACAGAGAGAGGCAGAGACATAGGCAGAGGGAGAATCAGGCTCCCTGCAGGACTTGATCCCAAGACCCCAGGATCACAACCCAAGCCAAAGGCAGACATCAATCACTGAGCCACCCAGGTGCCCCTCCTTATGATTTTCTTAATAACACTTTCTTTTCTTTAGCTTACTTGATTATAATAATATAGTATATAATATATTATAGTACAATTTATGTGTTGACTTTATATTATCAAGACTTCTGGCCAATTGTGTTGGGTGGTAGGATGTTGGGGAGTGTGGGGGTGTTGGTGTCTCTAACCCCCATATTTTTCTAGGGCTAACTATACTTTAACTAGTTTGCTTTCTGCCTAAAAAAGATCATCTACACCGAAGGAGCACTGATTGTTAGGAGACAAAAGAACATTAAATGGAGGCTCTCTGTAGAGGGCAAGTCTGTAATGGTATGATGAAATAGTTTCCTGGGCAATTGGATTAATGGGGAGAAGGATCACTAAGAAACTGTAAAGAAATACAGAATAGGAATTTGGTAGAGTCTCTGAAAAAAAAAGTCTTAATGGACAACTGTGCCACGGACTTTGGTATTTCTTTAATTCATTTTGATAAACATTTATTAAGCACTTAACATGGGTTAGGTGTTGTGTTGGATGGGGGATTTAGAGTGATGTGAACAAAACAGACATCATCTCTGCCCTCATATACCTTGTGTTTCTGAGGACATTTCTTGCATTTATAGTCTTTAGCATTTTATTATAGACAAAGGACACTAATACAAATGGCCTAAAAGGGATATTGCTCCTTTTAAATTAAGTTTTCCAAATTAAAGCCAAGAATTTGCTTAACACAGAGAAAATATAGTGTCAGAGTATATCTAACTAAACATAATCTTGTCTTGTATAAATGACCTACATATATATAATCAGTTAAATTATGAGTGAAAAAGATTTCACTGTTAAAGTTTTGAAATATGGTATTCCCATAGTTAATTCTTACTATCTTATTTTAAAAACCCTCATAATCCAAGGATCTGGAATTATACAAAAGTGTTATCTTTGTCCAACATATGCTTTCAAATCTAGTTTGCGGGGGATCCCTGGGTGGCGCAGCGGTTTGGCGCCTGCCTTTGGCCCAGGGCGCGATCCTGGAGACCTAGGATCGAATCCCACGTCGGGCTCCCGGTGCTTGGAGCCTGTTTCTCCCTCTGCCTATGTCTCTGCCTCTCTCTCTCTCTCTGTGTGACTATCATAAATAAGTAAAAATTAAAAAAAAAATTCTTTCAAATCTAGTTTGCTACACTAGAGAATACTTCAGGGGAACATATATATTTCGCACATGTATTCAATAATCACAATGGTATATTTTATAGACTTAATTTTCATAATTTTAACATCAAAAGCAGGAAATTAAAATGAAAACACAATATACTAATCAAAATATAGTTTAAAAGTATTTTCCAATTTGACTGTTCAAAATATAGTTAATAAGAAGGTATTTTCTGAGACTAATTTTTAAACTTCATATTGCTAATTATTTAAAAATAGGAAATAATTTCAGAATCCTTACAATTGCATCTATATTTTTGTCTGAAAAATTTATATGAGTTATTTTCTTCAGGTATCGTGAAGTGGTTTCTTCTTTTCGGGGTTTAAGATTGCTATTTTTGGCAATTAGATCCAAGGTTAGTCGAACCATGGTTTCTATAAATCAAACTCTCAGCAATAGTTCTGTTCTGATACCATATCAAAAGCAGGTTTAGGCATTGTTTTATGCCCAACTTTCTAAAAAGAAAAGAAAAAAAAGAAGTATTATGTACATGCAATTTAGGAAAAATTATTTTGACTTTTTAGATTTCTTATATAAAACTATTTGATAATCTACTTCAGAGACATTTTTAAGGCACTTAGATATTTGCTAAGTTTATAGACTTAATTAAGTCTATAACCATAAAAGTCTAACCATAAAAAGATTTAAAACACCAAAATTAATTAAATATGTAATGTTCATTCACTTCTACTTACAAATCTTTTCCTCTCACTAATATTGAGTTATTACTGTGGGCATCTTTTAAAGGATTTTTTTCTCTTGAGGAGTATCATCTGAGGTTTTCATGAAGAAACTAAGGCCTGGAGATTTGTATCAAACTACTCAAGGTAGTGGCAGTTGAGAATGAGATCAGATCTTCTGGCTCCTTTTTCCATAGTACCCATATTGATCATATTTTCTAAACCCTCAAATAAGAACATATTGTATGAAAACCTTAAGTATGTATGTAGAACAATGGTACAAAAATATTTGAAAATGGAACTGGCGTTGAAATTTTGTTATGTTACAACTGTAATCCACAAAGAGGCAATATAATACAGTGGTTTTCAGTCCAGACTGGTTCAAATTTTGGCTCCATTGCCCTTGGTTAGGCAGTCTTGGGCATGGTATTATCAGTTTCTTTTTTTAACCTGTATCCCCCCCCATTCATAATACAGACCAGGCAAAGAGCCTGGGCTGAGGTGTATTTGGTGTGTTTACTCTGGTTTCTCTTTCTGATCAGTCAGTATAAGAACACAGCCTTATAAGCTGGAAAGTACCAGGAACCTATGTTCCCTCTTTTTCTTATACAATTAGCATAATAATGGTACCTACTTCCAAGGGATATTGTGAAGATTACATGAGATAATCATGTTTAGGATATTCTACATGGTGCTTGGTACATAGGCCAATAAATGTTTGCTATTACCATTATTATTTTACTGTTTTGTTCACAGAAAGGTGAATACTGTTTACTTCACAGTTTTATCTGGAATACATTAGGACTATTAAATAGGGGGAATATACTATTAATAAAATTAATTAATAAAATATTGCTTTATGTAAGAGATCCAGATGTGGTCCATACATTAAAAAAAATCTTTTCCAATCATCCAGGAAGTATAGCTATTTAAGTGATAAATGTCTGTTTTATAAAATTTATTGTATTTTTAAAGTATAGTTTAAAATTGAGCATTACTTTTCTAAAGTATCTGGAATTTTGCCACCAAACACTTCAATTTGTGTCATATTCTGGACATGAACTCAATGCTTAGTAGGAAAAATGAATTTAGTATTTGTGTCATATTCTGGACATGAACTCAATGCTTAGGAGGAAAAATGAATTTAGTAAAAGATAGATTCAATTTGCATTCTCATGCATTGAGATAGAACTACCCAAGCTACATTATATAAAAAGCTCACAATAAAATATTTGAAGATATGGAATGTATCCTTAGATAGTCCAGAGTGCAAAATGTAATCTATAGAATAAAATTATTAAATCTTTGTAGACTTTTGGCATTTTCATGAATTCATTTACAACAAAAATGTAAAATTATTGTTTACAGATCAAATTTCAAACATGACGATAATATTCTGAACAAAGTTTCTAATTAAGTAAAAGTAATATTGCCTTAAATTTCATGATGAAAATGTAAGGAATAGCCGGGACACCTGCACCCTGATGTTTATAGCAGCAATGTCCACAATAGCCAAATTGTGGAAGGAGCCTCGGTATCCATCGAAAGATGAATGGATAAAGAAGATGTGGTATATGTATACAATGGAATATTACTCAGCCATTAGAAATGACAAATACCCACTATTTGCTTTGACGTGGATGGAACTGGAGGGTATTATGCTGAGTGAAATAAGTCAATCGGAGAAGGACAAACATTATATGGTCTCATTCATTTGGGGAATATAAAAAATAGTGAAAGGGAATAAAGGGGAAAGGAGAAAAAATAAGTGGGAAATATCAGAAATGGAGACAGAACATGTGAGACTCCTAACTCTGGGAAACCAACAAGGGGTGGTAGAAAGGGAAGTGGGCAAGGGGTGAGGGTGACTGGGTGACGGGCACTGAGGGGGGCACTTGACGGGATGAGCACTGAGTGTTACTCTATATGTGGGCAAATTGAACACCAATAAAAAGTAAATTAAAAAAAGAAAGTGTAAGGAATAACACCACACTCATGGACCTACAGGCCACCTTAAAATATAAAACATAAATACATTTGGAACACTTCTATATCTTTCTCCCTATTCTCTTATTTTTAGAGTTTAGAGTTAGATGTCTCTATTCATGTCTTTATACTTTTATTACAAATGTATGTATAGCTAAACAATATATAGTTCTTTTTAAAATATATTTTTACAGTCATAAATGTTACTATTCTGATTCCAACTTTCTTTTTGCTTAAAGTTTTGTTTGTGAGAATCATCAGAGTTGATGTGTATAGCTCTAGAATATTTGTATTGCTATGTAGCATTCTATTGTAGGGAATTTATTTCTTCTGATGATAGATCTTTGGGTGTTGTTTTTTTCTTTTGCAGTGTTGCTTTTATGATTCTTATATACATGTCATTTTTAGCTGATGTGCAAGAGTTTCTTTAGGGTTTAAAACTAGAAGTGGCTATTTCTGGGCTGCACATTATCAACTTTATTCAATTGCCAAATTGTTTTCTAAAGGAATTTTACCAGTGCAGCTAAGAACATTCCTATTGTATTACAGTGCAGGCGACTCCAGTGTCAGCAGTTGATAATGGCTTTTTGCCAATCTGATGGGTGTGAAGTGATATCTCATACTGTTTTTGTTTTTCCTCAGATCTTTATATATATGAAAATAAAACCAAAAGGGGATTTGAAGATAGCAAGATCAGTAGTTTCATCTCCTCCCTGTGTTTAATTTGCATTCTATAATTCCTAGAGATTGAGAGTTTTTTCCTGTTTATCACCATTGGAGTTCCTTTTCTATTAATTGTGGTTTCTTATATTTTACCGATTTTTCATTATGGGTTATGTTTTTATAAGTAATTTTTAGATACACTTGTATTTTTATCAGATACTGATATTTCGCTGATTATATATGTAGCAGATATCTATTCCCCAATTATAGTTTGTCTTTTCTCCTTTTTTTTTTAGTTTGTGTTTAATGGCATCTTCTAAAAAAACAGAAGCTATATATTTTTAATGTCAAATGTATTGGGTTTTTTTTGTTCATATTTTATGCTTTCTTTGTAAACATGTTTAGGTTTTGCTTTGCAGTTTTGTCTGCATTGCTGTGATCAGAGGCAGCAGTCGGTGGTCCGAGGACAGATCCTTGATATTTGGTGGCTAGTGTGTTTTTTGCCCATTTTGGCTTCTGCAAGCTGTTTGTAAGGTGCTCCAGAAACCCCTGCATGGCTTCCTGCTACAGGGTTGGGTGTAGGGAATAGATAGTTGCTGTACAGCTGAAATTGACCAAAATTTATTGATATTCATTGTCTAAGTCTTCCCCTGGAAGTTGTAAGCCTTCAGTAGACTCCAGGTTCCAAAATATTTACACCAGAGTCTGTCAGTGCAGTTGTTGTCTAGGTGGAGAAACAAGATGCTTCCTACTGTGCCATATTCCCAGAATCCTCTCCTCCTTAACTCTTTCATATATATTTTAAAATCAACTTGCCATGTTCCATGAAAAATCCTGTCAGGATTTTATTAGGAATTACATTGAATTCTTTTTAAAGATTCTATTTATTCACGAGACACACACACAGAGGCAGAGAAACAGGCAGAAGGAGAAGCAGGTTCCACCTGGGAAGCCTGATGCGGGACTCCATCCCAGGATCCCAGGATCAGGCCCTGCGCCAAAGGCAGACGCTCAATGGCTGAGCCACCCAGGCGACCCGGTATTGTACTGAATTTGTAAACAATTTGTGAAGCGCTAACACATCTCTAATATTGAGTCTTCCTTTCCATCACTATGGTATGCCTCTCTGTTTTACGAGTGCTTCTTTAATGATTTTCAATAGTTTTATAATTTTCTTACAAAGCCATGCGTATTTTTTTTGTCATTTTTAGCGATCATATATTTTTGTTGATATTGCAAGTGACATTCTTTTAGGAATCACATTATCTGGAGCTAGTGTATAGAAATGCAATGTTTAAAAATATTTGAAATATTTAAAATATTTTGAAACATGATTTATTTAGATCCTAGTTTAAAATTTTACTCTGGAAATTTCAAATATCATTTTTACATTGATAACTGTGGTGAAAATGCACATCTTAAAGTGGTTAAACCCCCAGAATTTCTTTCTTACAGCTGAGGCAGGAAACTGCTAAACAGGTGGCCAAATAGGAGCAACCCTGTACTAAAAAGAGGGTGGGAGACAGGAGTCACAAATTATTTATTCTCCCTTCTCCCCCTCCCCAAAGACTTTAGAAGACACAGCCATTTCAAAAGTTCTCACAGAAAATAGCTCTGGTCCTTTGATTTATATACAGGGCTATATTTATTCTTCCTCCATCTCTCATTCCTTTTTTCCTTCTCTCCTGCTCCCCTGCGATTACAGTCCCCCCAAAAGTGTTATCATATGAGACTTTGCTTCCGGCTCTCTTTTCTAAGCTGGGCTAAAACAGGTAAATTTTGGATCATCTGAATCCTCATGAATGACTAAGGTATAAATGGATTTTGTCTCTAGGTTCCAGTATACAAACTGGTGTTTGTACAGAAATAAATTTAATTCTCTCAGATAATTAGAAAAGTAAAGGGGCAAATGTGGTATATAAATGAAATGTTTATTAAACCAAGGGAAGGCCAATGGACCTCATCAACAAGCTATAGGAAAACTGTCCAGGGGCTTGAATAAGGGAAGGAAGATAACTGAATCAACCCATAACACACTTCACTCAAAAAAATCTGCATTGTATTAGTCAAATCCACAAGAGAGGATTTAGTTTCATCAAAACACCACCATTCATCTTGTTAATGTAACATGAATTTAAACGTTATTGGTATTCTTGTTTGTTTTAGGGATACTATAAGCTTCAGATAGTTAAACTGAACCTAGTTTGGATTTGGACACATTTTGGAACATTATAATAAAAATAATTATGTCAACACTAGTGGGGTGTTTTTGCTTTTCTTTTAAAAGAGGTTCATTATTTTCTAGAGTTTGAGAAACAGCTTTTTCATAATTTTTCACTCCTAGATACCTGTTGTCTCGGGGTTCCTCCTGCCTAGGATATCTCTCTTCTCTCTCTCTCCGGATTGCCGGGGGGGGGGGGGGGGGGGGGGGGGGGGGGGACGGGGACGGACGGGACAGAGAGCTGCTTTACAGGCGCTCTGGGAATCCATTTTAATGGACCCTTTGGCTTAATTAATCTCTTTGTGCTCCCACAAGTTACAGGTAACCGATGATTCCGAATTTAGTTTGTATATTTCCCTTAGCGAGCCCCAAGCTCACTGGCTTCCCAGTGCACTAAATCGCCGGGTTGGCTCTCAGGCTTTCACCTTTTCAAACTCAGATCTGTACTCAGAGATCCGGCTCCCTCAGCCCGGCGGCCACCTCTGCACCCGCGTCTCCCTCCTCTATAGCTGTTTCCCAACCTTGCCTGATTCTAGCTATTTGTTTCAAACACAAAAGCTTCCAGACTGATTTTCTGGAAATTCTAGATGCCTCCGAGATAAGGCTTCGTTAGGGATTTTCATTTTAACCATTGACCCAGCCAAGTCTTACTGGCAGGCAGGCTCGTTTGAGAAACGTGGCTCTGGGGCTTCCTCAGCGCCCCCACTTCTCCCCTGAA